AATACATCTCATATCGTGTAATATCTCTCTCTCTCTCTCGCTTTATGGACAATAAATTTGATTTCAAACCCGTTTACTGTTTGAATACAAATTGTATACCCCATTGATAACCCGCACATAAGAATTTTCCAAAAATTTCACTTTTTCCGATAGATAACCTGCGGGTAATGCACGGGATTTTACGGTAATATATTGAACCAAAAATAGTTGAAATGTGTGTTAACCGACAAATATCACACATATTTCATTTGCAGAATTTAAAAATGACCACTAAATCAACGCAAATATATGACATTAAATGACCAAATCATTAAATTAATGCATACAATGAGATCCGTATTTCAAATCATGATTTGAAGCCAAAATTGTTATAAATGGCAAGTTTAGGACACACTTTACGAAATGATGGTTCATTTGTTCACACATACAGTAAAATGCAATCAACGTATAAAATACAAAAGCCTTTTATTCTCAATTCAAATATAATGATTAATAAATAGATTAATTCGATTACAGCTCTTATGAAATTTAACACATTTAGTGATTACCAAATGGTAAACACAGCTTCAAAACTAGATTAAAAAGCTTTCCTTTGCTTTAAAAATGTATAATTTAAAGAAATAGAAATAATTGTATTATTTCTTCTTAATCTTACTATTTGTTAGATTATTCTGCGGTATATTCCCAGAGAGTAAACTCAACCGTTTCTTCAGATCCAATAGAATTTTCACTTCTTTCTCGATCACTGGTTTCGGTTCCTTTTGACTCTTCAATTGTCTCACTTTATCGGCTTGTGTTGTGAGACACGCGTTCAGCTCATCACTGGTCAGACCTTCAAAGGGATCCGCTTCGGGGGTACCGTTGGTCTCCGCTGTCTTCTCCTGTTTGCCTTTGAAACGCTCTTTCAATGACTCGATTTCCTTCGCCTCCAACTTCTTGAACAGTGGCTCAGCCTTTAAACGCACGCATAAATCAAATGTTAATTTATGTGAATAACAGTTTACGCAAACCATTACTACAAACCTTTGATATTTTATGCCCGGACTTCAGAATACAGTGAAATCTATTATCTTTCGGTAATAAATTAATTTTGACATTCAATTGGTTTTGAATGACAGCCGAAGTGTTGGGCATATAGGGTGTGATCAGCACTGATAGGAGAGCCGATACATTCGCTGCCAAACCCATTATAGTGGCCGCACGAGCTCTACAAGCAATACAAATGTCAATTAAAATCAATACATTTACAAATAAAGCATAAATAAAGTAATTATACTTCTCTTGGGGTCCCTTTTTGATGAGTTCCCAGGGTTTCGCTGCCTGAATGTATTGATTACCAATTCTACTAATGTTTAGTATGTGTCGAATACCATCTCTGAGTTTGATTTTGTCCATCAAATCAAAGTAATGCACTAATTCTCTGTTAATTCTGGCCAACAGTGTCTTATCCGACGACTGGAATGTCATTTCAGGAATCGTTGAATCGAAGTTATTGTTAATGAAGACAAGCGCTCTATTGATAAAGTTTCCCAAATTGTTCAACAATTCTGAGTTGTTTTTGTTCATCAAATCAGTCCAACTGAATGTCGTGTCCTGTGATTCGGGCCTAATATACAGCAAATAGAAGCGCCAGATATCGGACGGTATTCCAGTGTCCCTCGCGTTGTCACCGAATACACCGACGCCTCTACTCTTCGAGAACTTCGAGTCTTCATAGTTTAGATACTCGACGGCCGATAAGTGGTTAACAATTGTCCACTTGTCGTGAGTGCCGATCTCAGAGGCGGGGAATATAATGCCGTGAAAGG